TGTGTGTGGTTTAGCAAGATAACTCGAGAAGCAGTGGATGGATTGGAATGAAACTTGGTAGGTGGGTAGGTCTTCATGAGACCTAGAAATGATTAGATTTTGGGCCCCCTGGAGGCTTTCCTAGGTACTGCAGCTGAACGTCCGGTTTTGATATTTCATGTTCTGGACATGCTAGGGTCACAAAGTTTGGTTGGTAGATAGCTCTTGGGGTAGGGAAGAAGTGACATGAGTTTGGGTCCCCTAGCGCCTTGTTCTGGAACTGCAGGAGCATTTGTTGAAAAAAATTTGAAGGACGATAACTCAAGAACCGGTTGACGTATTGTCGTGATTTTTGGTATGTAGGTAGTTGAAGTGATGCTTGACATAATCAGATGGTAATTATGCAAATCAGGAGCTAATTTGCATAATTAATGAGGAAATTCTATAAATCTGCTTTGTTCGATAATAGAACTATGAAACACTTGTGGCATCTACTTGAGAACGAGAAAAACATCTCAGGATATAGATTATGTAAATGAGGACCTAATTTGCATAATTAATGGAAAATGTTTATAATTCCATAGTTGTAACTGCTGCACCCCGAATTTATACTTGCCACATTTGGAAGTTAAGTGAAGGTGAACATCAATAAACATAAGTTATTCAAATCATGACCTAATTTGCATAATTTATGTGGAAGTGCTATAATAGACTTTTTGTTAATAGAAGACTGTCATTGGGTGGAGAATATGATCAACTGATATAATCCATGCAAATGAGGCTCTTATTTACAAAATCAATGATTAAAATTGTATAATTCATCACCCGCAAGGGTTAACATTATTTGGCGAAGGTATGAGATCGTGGAACTCTTGTTACATCTTTCAAAATCCTCTTCTCGAGCGAAGGGCAGTAGCCACGCATTCAGATCACAGTAATAAGCCCTGCTGGGCCGTGCGTCAGATATAATAGGATAGTCCTCCGCACACGGGAGACCCTTCTCTCTATCTGGCGTTTTGGTTACTCTCTTCAGCGTCAAAATTGTCTTCTTCTGAACGCTACTCGCATAAGAGAGTTCCTCACCACAAACACAGTGCTGTAGAGAAGAACAAGCTCAAAGATGGCGGTGAACAGTAGCTTTGGCGAACTGTTGGGCAACAACAGGTCATCGGTTCCCGAGTTTGACGGCTTGATTCCGTGCTACAGGTGGTACCTGAAGAACCAGACTGCGTCGTACGAACAAGCTCACCAAGCCTGCGCCGTGAACAATTTCATCGGCATGGCACCTGGGATCGACATCGTCTTTTGGCTGACAGGAATCTTCACCATCGTCAGTAACCTCACAGTCCTGTTGGCAATCATGGGAACACAAGAGCGCTCCAAACCGATCTGCTTCTTCTTAGCAAATCTGGCCATGTCGGACCTTCTGAGCGGGATTGCGCTCCTGTATCGCACAGAGGGCCGTGCGCTTCACAGTGCTAAGTACAGCTTTATGATGACTTTTGTCGATTCAGTATCATTTACTCAGATGCTTTCTGCCTCCCGCTCTATCCATTTTGTCTGTCAACAGTTGGCTGGCGGTCAGCCATCCCATGTTCTTCCGCGCCCATGCTGGTAACATCAAACGCATGTCGTATTTTGCCCTGAGCATGTCGTGGGTTGTTTTCCCTTTTCTTGCCTTCGCTCCCAGTATGGGGTGGAATTGTCTCGACATGCAAACTCTGATCACAGCAAAGTGCGTCAAATATTACCCCATAGCGTATTTCATCATGTTTACGTCCGTGATACTTATTCTCTGTACTGTGATGCTGTTTACAAACATCGTCATGTACGTAAAGTTGCGTAAAGATGCTAGTCAAAACAATGTTGACCAGGATACACGGAGGAAGTTTGAAAAAAGTGCAGAGAACGCGAAAACAGTAATGCTGCATGTTGCAGTAGCGTTAAGCTTCTGGCTGTTAGCAATAATGATCATCCCCGTTTGTAACGTCTACAGAGATACGTGCCCCCGTATGAATGTTGTAGTCGCGGTAGTGTGTCTAAACTCTGCCATCAACCCAATCGCAACACTTCTCCGCACTCCAGCCTTGAAGAAGACACTCGGGAAGAAACTGAACAGTATCTATCGGGTGTTTGTGCCGGGAAATGTACAGGGTGTGCGAGGGGAAGCAGGAATTGACACGCACATTCAAGGTGACGCTACAGAGCTACAAAGAATCTCGCATATTTCAGAAGAGCAGCCCGCTGTGACGACGGCAAACTATGACTGTTCGGCCCTGGACCTCCTAGGGAAGGAAGAGCCAGAACAATGTTCATCAGAGAGAAACGATGAGACTTGCCTGTAGAAAATACACTGAAGACACAGACGAACGCAGTAGGGCGTCTGGAAAAGGCGCAAGCATCGGTATTTTGTCAAATTTGTGTATACTCGCATTCAAGCAATGTACATTTTATATAATGACCTTTAAATTTATTTTGTATATCAATTGTTCGATGTACGGTATGGTTTTGATGCACAAATTCTATGTAACTATTAAATTATAATTCGTAGGAAACATTATGTGAAATGACTTTCATTGCACATCAAGTGTGCGAGGTACAAAATATGGCTTCAATGTACTAATTCTGCATCATTCAATCATACTTCGTAAAAACACTTATGTGAATTTACCAAGAAATGTGCAAAGTACAACGTATGGGAACAGCAACAGCTAAACAGCTAAACTGCTAACGAACAGAAAATGGTAACGAACAAATGCTAGCTAACAGAAAAATGCTAACGAACAAAAAATGCTAACGAAGAAAAATGCTAACGAACAGAAAAATGCTAACGAACAGAAAAAATGTTAACGAACAGAAAAAGTGCTAACGAACAGAAAAATGCTAACGAACAGAAAAAATGCTAACGAACATGTAGAAAAAATGCTAACAAACAGAAAAAATGCTAACGAACAGAAAAATGCTAACGAACAGAAAAATGCTAACGAACAGAAAAAAATGCTAACGAACAGAAGCTGCAGTGTAGATATAGCAGTACCAGTTACCATGCACCGAATTATATATCCTTTCTCCTCCCCATTGCTATTTAAACGGACAAGTTATAATGCTGTTCCGATGAGGCGTTTTGATACAAAAAAGGGGCCACTAGGAAACGTAACCATCTAGTCTCTCAAACATCTACTTGGAGATTGCTATTTCTTCTTCTTATTTTTCTACCATAGACGGGGCGATAGCACGTAAGATGCATGTAGCTCTGGTGTAGGATGGGTGATATATTTCCCTCTTCCGCAAGGTGGCGCCCTCGACAATGACTTTGGCAGTATCTTCGGGCTGTGCCACGGTCTTCATAAAATACTCTCGAGCTGCCGCTCCAAGATCCTGTCAGTGCGACAACCAGAAGAATACATATCAAAACTTGTTATTAAAGTACACTATAAAATGTCTATTGGCTGTACATGATTATACGATGCCTCTAAACGTCCTTTTGTACCAAATGGTCATTAGGCATGTCTTCAACGTATGTAGGTATGTTGTTGAACATCTTGCCAGACATATGATGAACAATTATTGTACGCATCAAAAGTTGTTATCACAGCGCAAAATTGTGCAAAGCAAGCGGAATTGGTCATATTTAGCGGAGGTAATTAGTGAGATCGGAAGTTTGGTCGTCTAAACAAGGCCGAAACCGATCTGTCAACCACAATTACAATTAGCAGTTCAATCGTTGAAATATTGACCATTCGTTGAGATAATGACCAATACATTCGACTATCATGCATGAGAGTGAATTGGAAACTTGAGCGCCGTAGCGGGGAGTACATGACGTGCTTCGCTGTCCCATCTAATTAATGCTTCCATGGAATAATCCGTAAAATGATGGATGACCTAGTTTAATCCCTACTTATACGTTCAATATGTTTGATTCCTTCGTTACCTTCAATATAAGCTCAACTGTATTGATTTCTAGAAAATAGCAGCTCTTGTAGGAAGTTATGAAGGTAACATGACTATTCATGGTTGGAAACTCTAAGTAAAAAGTATATAGTGTACCACAAGGGGACATATTAGGCCCACTTTTGATTCCGCTACACCAAAATGACTGTAAAAAGTAGAGCTGAGACATCTTGCCTGGTACCTGTATGCTCCCTTCCAACCATTCTCAGTAACGATCTCACATTGTCTGGTGTACCACAAGGGAACATACTAGGCCCACTTTTGATTCTACTACACCCAAATGACTGTAGAAGATAGATCTGAAACACCTACCTGTATGCTTCCTCTGAGTCCGTCCGTGTCCACAGACCCCAGCACGGCCAGAGTGATGGACACGTTGTGCGGCTTCATCTCACACCGCAGAGAGCTGAAGAACCCATCCAGGGCGAACTTCGCTCCGGTGTAGAACGTGAAGGTTGGGTTGGGAACTTTACCTAAAGGAACATGCAAAACAAAAGGATTCTGTTTTAGATAGGGAATAATTCAGGGTAAATGACCCGCCACGAGGTGAATATGGTGTGATAAAGCCTTGTCAGTTGCTATAACCACCGAATAAAGCCACTGAGTATTCAAAGCTTTCTAGTAACGATGACCAAAATGTGCTTGGTGGCAACGAGTTCCAGTCTACGATAGTTCTTGGGAAATACGGGTTTTTGAACACCTCAATTCTTGGTTGATAACTCTGATATTGTCGTCGTTAAAAAAAAAGAACATCCAAGCAGAAACGGTTCTGGATACGGAGGCTTCTTACCTAGCTTCCACCAGGCCTTTCTACGGGAATACGGATCGTAGAATTCGGCAAAAAAAAAAGAGAATCAAATTGGCCAAGGGAGTCCGGCCGCCGGGAGGTAGTTTTAACTGCGCGGCATAGTCAAACCCCAAGGCGGCCAAACTCCCCCGGCAAATATTCTCCTATATATAGCCAGCGTAGTTAGTCTGGTAGACACTACATGTACTTCTTACCCAGCAGCCCGGTGACGACAGTGATGTTTCCCTGGCTCTTCTTCAGCATGGGCAGGGCGAGTGACGCCAGCCGGACGTGGCTGAGGTAGTTGATGTTGGTGTAGTCAGTCAGGTAGTCCATGTCCGGGTCGGCGTCCCACAGTTTGGGGAACTTCCCTCTCTGGTGGGAAGACCCCCAGTGGTTCAGTATGATGTAGTCTAGGCCACCTGAGATAACAAACGAATAAATGAATGATTGTGTACTGTTGAGGGTTTGCCCAGAATCAAGTGTTCTTGGTTCAACCCCCTGGCATTTCTCGATGTTGCGCCATTGGGGAAGGAAATTTACACGGATTTTTTTTTAATTTCACAGGTCAAAAAAGAGTTTTGACTAGGGTTAACCATTGGATATGACGTTAAATGGAGAGCCTGTGTTCAAGAAAAGCACATGAAAGAGCCAGCCTAACCGGAAGAAAATTGAAGAGTCGTATTTTACATACCCAGCGTATTACTGGCTGTCTCGATGGTTCTCTCACAGTCTTCTGCTTTGGCCATGTCTCCTGCTACATAGATGGCCTCCTGGGCTCCCAGGTCCTTCATCTTAGCTACAACCTGGACAAATACAGGGTGGACCAGAAATAATGTATCCTGCTACATAGATGGCCTCCTGGGCTCCCGGGTCCTTCATCTTAGCTACAACCTGGACAAATACAGGGTGGACCAGAAATAATGTGCCCTGCTACATAGATGGCCTCCTGGGCTCCCAGGTCCTTCATTTTAGCTATAACTGGAAATAAATTGACCATATGTTAGAAAACCTAGCGACTGTGTCTTACCTCTTTGAGTCGGTCTTCCCGTCTGGCCGTGATGAGTACTTTGGCGCCATGTTTGGCATACTGATACGCCACCTGTTCCCCCACGCCGGTACTGCAGCCCGTCACCACAACTCTGGCGCCCCTGAGGGATTCTGGGATTGGGAAACATCAAGTTTTAGACTCTATTCCTTGCATTTCTGATCGTTAATTATACGAGGAAATGTATTGGCAGCTTATTAGGTAACACCTGATTTCGATACGCTTATGCAGTAAGATTTACCAAAAGCAATTATTAAGTTCCAGTCTGCTTGGTACGTCAAAAACTGTCTACACAAATACTAGTATTAGCTCTAGATGCCAATTAAGCCCGATAATCTTTACCTTAAGCAACAATGCCAAAGGTAATCATTACGAGACTCACCTGACATTATATAGCCACCATTATGAAATCCTATTCAGGGTTCTCACTAGGGTTTTTTTCACAGCATAGGGGTCAGGTACAGAAGGGCAACTTTCACGGCGCAAGTCCCCAAAACATGACCACAGTATAGGGGTATGGTACAAGTATTTTTCCCGAAAGATTTTGAAACTCGTAACCCCCTGAGACACTATTTCTTGGTTAGAGCAAGGAGCTTTCATCACATGTGATGAAAGCTCCTTGGTTAGAGAGGGTCAGATTTTGTGAAGTTAAGGTTTATCCTTTGCTATAGCTTCATTCTATAGTATAGGTGCGACTGATCAAATATAAGTTAGTGTATATGGACGTTTTCTACGTACAAGGAGGTTATCATGAGTAGTCTAAGCTAGCGTGCATAAGAAGTCTCCAATCCAAAATCAAATATAAATGAAATAAAATAAAATATAAAGAGCTCGTCCTACCTAAACCAGCTGATTGGGATACGATTCTGAACATGCTACTCATCCTGGTATAGGTTTGACTATGAATCCAGTTCAGAAAACTGGAAAAACCACTAGCAAGACTACTAGCGATATCCCGGGAACACTCACTTTTTTTGGGGGGGGGGGGGGCAGGGGCTGTTCATTGTCATTTACTAGTATCATGTTTGTAAGGATATGTCCTGACCATTGGTAAGCCATTCATTTTTTTTCGGCACTAGTATTCTTATTACTAAGTACTGGCCTTCGTTGAAACATTTGTTCTATATGATAAAGACCAATCTCACTGACTGCTGAATTGTCAAAACACTGTGAACGATTTGCCGCGTCCTGGATACTGAGACTGAGAGAATCGAACCCGGGTCTCCCGGTTCACAGTCGAATGATCTACCACTACGCCACCCGACCCGACGCTATCTTCTCTGTATACCAGAAGTATTATCAATGACAATAAACTTTATTGCATGTTCACGCCCTACACGGGCCAAATGCACTTAAGTTAAATAACTTGGGTACAAGAATAGAAGAAGCAATTGTTATCTGCAAGCAGCCCTCGGGCAATGGATTTTTCTAATGTTTTCTGTCTGGGTCACTGCACTGGGTCATCCCTAGCAAGACAAGAGGGCCTGCAAGCCCTTTTTCGTAAGGCGCAATCAGGCCGTTTTAGACTTCGTAATTCGTAGGCAGCCTCCGCAAAAATCCACGTAATTCGTAATTGGACATTAGCCGCAAATCGTAAAGTCGTAATCAGCTCTGAGACTTTACCGTAATTCGTAATAGGCGGCGAAAATTTTGCATAATTCGTAATCACTACCCCCCCCCCCATTTGCAGGCCCTCAGACAAGGGTTTGTGAAGTTGTATAGAACAGGTCACACCGGTGGTCACGAGATCTTCACCATTTCTTCCAGACATGAAAAAAACAACACAACTATCTACCCCCATAAAATCAAGAACTTTGGCTAAAATGTAAAAGAAAATCAAGAATACAAAAAGTGAATCACTACCAACTAACCCTTATGTTTTCAGGATCGAAGATCTATCGAGTCTTGCACATGTGCACATCTAAAACATGCATATATATATATGTAGCAAATGATAGCAATGTCTTATTCTTCTTTCTTTTACTCTTTGCATACGAGAAAGAAGTAATTAAAATCTACATGATAAAAGGCAGTTGTCTAAAGCTGTCACTTTGTCTAAAACTATGCCAGAGGATTATTCAAAGTTCTGTTAGCACCAACAAGCAAGCAACCAAACAAGAAACGTCGACAAGCGAAATAACATGCATTTTACAAGAAAAAAACATAACAGCTGGATTCCCTTCGAAGAAAATAGGAATATATGGCCGTGTTTATGTGAAGTCATCCAAACCGCGATTCGGGTAACTCACATTCCTCACATCTGGTCCACGTGCCATACATTCCTTTTAAAACGTGCCCGATCACGATTCTCCGAAACTACATTCATTGTTGTTTGATGAAAACACGCAAGGTAGCGTGTTATTATTGTCAGGGGTCAACGACCTGCTTGTTGGTGCCCCCCAACGTATCTGGGCCGAATGCCGACGTGGTCCCGCCAGAGGCCGTGAAGCTCGTCCTAGAACGGACACATTATTTGACCATCACTGCTCCTTAAGTTGCTGACAAGTAAAATTTGGTATTGCATATAAGTACAGATTCTGAAATATCTCTCCGTAATCCATGACCAAGTGAAGTCACATTGAAATCACATTGCGTTCAGACGCAAATCGCGATGCGGGAAAACCGATTCGAAACCACCTCTAGAAGTGGCTTGGGATCTAGGCGCTTTCAATGTGATTTGGAGCGTTCAGATGGAGCCACTTGAAACCGGCTTCGGGGTAAACCACATGTAAAGCGCCTTGGGTGACTTCACATAAACACGGCCTATTTATTCTGCTGTGTGCTAATATGTGTTAACGATAGTGACGTGTGTAACATTCCCAGCGAATTAGTTATTTGCTTCAGTGAAACACACTGACGTGTAGGTGTGGGCAGTTTTAGTTTGATCTCAGATCTAGCGTGATGTCCAGTATGATGGCCGGTTCTCCACTCTGAATTTGTTTTTTTTTTTAATGAGCAACATAGAAATTTACAGAACACAGTGGTGGGCAAGTCTTATAGGTTGCTAATCCTAGCCCTACCACTGACAAAGCAAGGTACATACAACGGTAAATGATAAGAACACAACAACAGCAAGTAACAATAAAAATAATAAGAAAATGGGCAATATAAACGATAACGTAAAAAAAGGATCATAATGCTTTGAAAAAGAATGGTTTTCCGTAGGCAGTTGAACAAATTTGATGAAGTGTAAACCGTTTTGAATTTCTTTACGTTCTTTTGGTGCAATAGAACTTCATCGCACGACAATTGTACTAGGTACAACGCATAACACCTACTGAATGCTATATATCAAACATACTATGAGACTATTCTACCTTTTAAGTAATATAGCATTACCTGTAGCCTGATTACGTCACGCTTCTAGCAGCATTTCTACTGGTCAAGCCCATAGAAGCTTGATAGCTAATACTGGTACCTCTTACCAGCATTTAGGAGAATTAGGAGCATCTTAATCCAGTTGCACATGTGCTAAGACCTACCATTTATTGTCCAACTGAGAACCGTTCGTTACTATAGTGTTGGTGGCTGTGATGACTGGTTTCCATAGTGATAAAAATCCCAAATTTTTGTTCGTCTAGACTCTAGTTTCCCCAGTAATAAAAAAATCCAGGGCTTTGGTAATTCTGAGAATTGGAATTATTTTCTCTAGTTGGAGGTATATGAACATATGTGCACAGCCCTAGACAGAGATTGTGGAACACGTGTTAGCGTTATGTGTGGATTTCTAGCATAGGATTCATACGTCACTTAATGATCTCCATTCCACCTGTTACACTAATGTGTTTACGAGCTCAGACGTCAAACCACGTAAAATAGCTGATTAAGCTAACAGAGAGATAATTAGCTACCGCAAAAATACCATTTTATAGCAACTGGTGGCATATTGGTCCCTGTCATTTGAGAGGGATCTCCCTCTCTTACCCTCTCTCAATTTACACATCGTATTTTCTGCATTCGTGAATGATGGCTTACAAAGAATTGTACATTTCGCTGACGTTGCTTGTTTTCATCTCTACGATTTGCTACGCTGGAATAACAACGGTTTCTGAATCCGGAGTCAACTTTACAAATGGTACGGACTTTTCCATCAACGATACGGACTTTTCCATCAACGATACGGACTTTTCCATCAACGATACCGGCTTGTCCAACTCAACCCTACGGAATGGTTCACTTGGGAACTGTAACACGCAAACGGTATTCCTGATCAGTACTGAAGAGGTAGAAAACACCACATCCAACGTCTCGAAACAGTTGCAGAATGATACGGTAGCTCAAAGGTTTCCCCACCGTATAGAGCCCATGTACGCTACCCTATGTCTAGGCGTCTGGTCAGTGGTGACAAACAGTCTCCCGCTTGTAGCCATCATCAAATACGAACATCTCCACACGCCGGCGTACATCCTCATGGCCAACCTGGCTGCAAGCGACGTCCTGGCCGGGATAGACTTCCTGTGTACCGGTAGCTCGGTGTTGTACTACGCGTACACTGAGACCTCCGCATCCGTGGCCATGTCGCGAGTCCGCTTCACGTTGATTTTACTTTCCGGACTGTCCTCGGCCTACAGCCTGATGGCCCTGACGGCGGAGCGCTACTGGTTCATCGTCCACGGGATGACCTACGTCAACAACGTCACCAACGACAAGTGCAAGGTCGTGATCATGATAGTCTGGGCGTGGTCAGTGCTGCTGGCGATGCTGCCACACTTCGGGTGGATTTGCGAAGGTCGCGCGGTGGAAGGGTGCCTGTCCATAGGCGGAGGGCTGCCGCTGAGCTACGTGGTGTTCATCTTGGTCTTCGTTTTCATCCCGATGGCAGCAGTCGTCTATTTCAACCTGAGTATCTTCTGGTGTCTGTGGAAGCACGTCAACGCCATCGCTGATCAAGAAGCCGCGGTGGGCGCCCAGCCTAGCATCAACAGGAAATCCGCCATTACTATCATCATCATCACTATCGTGTTCTTGGTGGGGTGGCTGCCATTTTCTGTCAAGATGGCCATGCTTACCCAAGATCGCGTGTCGCTCTCGAAAATGTTTGTCTTCATCATCTTGAACTCCGCAATCAACCCTTTGATCTACGGGCTTCGTCTGCAGGAAGTCCGGCGCGGTGTGGCTCGGCTCTTCGGCTGTACCAACGGCAACTGCAACTGCAACGGCAACGGCAACGACAATCTTGGACCGTAAACTCACCAGAGCAGAAACCCGGTTACTTCCAGGTACGGAAGTATTGTTCTGGGTGGCAGACTGGTGAGTTTGATTGTTTCGCGTCCAGACAAAGTTCGACTTCTTACGTGACTGTTTCAGGAAGCAGATGGTAATATTTTGATTATCAAAACGTCCCAAATTTATCCTTAGTAAAAGTGTGTGTTTGAGAGAGAGAGAGAGAGAGAGAGAGAGAGAGAGAGAGAGAGAGAGAGAGAGAGAGAGAGAGAGAGAGAGTAGAGTAC